ATGATGGTATCAAATCCACTGTTCATACTCTTTTCACCGATACTATTATTTCCTATACTATTGACACTGTAAATGCTACTGCTATTGTCTCCAAAAGGATTCCTGATGTTTCCCATCCCACTTTGTCTAACCTGATTCGTATATCCAAATCTTCCCATTATGACATTTCCGCTCCTTCGTACACCACTACTTGATCGTTTCAATGAGCTTCGACTTCCACTTGCGAGCACAGCGTTGAATCCATCCCAATTTCCACTATAATTGTTTGATGCCTCTTCAACCAACGAATCTCCAAATTTCTTACCAACTTTCCATTTTAGGTAATCTTTTCCCAAATATGAAGTTCTTCCTCTTTGATATTGGTTCCGATCAGAACCGTTGTTATTAAATGCCACTGATGATTCGAGATCAAACTCGTTTCTCAAATGAGGAATCTCAGGTCTTGGTAGTTGTTTTTGGTGGTCGAACGGGTCTGACGATTGCGATGATGTCAACGAATTGTTGGTTGAATTCATGAGATCATTCATCTTCTTAGCCACAGCGATTTCGTCAATTTGATCTCTGAAATCATTGGTTTTTACTCTTCGTCTCCTCACCGCGAAAAATCTAATCGCCAATATTAACAATACCAACAAAAGGAATACTGTTATTACTATTAATAAGATTTCCCACCACGTTAATTTTCTTCTAGAATAATTATCATTTTTGCCAGAGAAATTATCCGAAGGTATTAAGCTATCATTCAAATTATAACACAATCTTTCGGATATGAGCATCACAGTACCGCTAGAACAACCAGCACCACAAGTTCCATTCGTTAGAATTTTCAATTTATCCGTGCATCCGAGACATTGACTATTTTTCGGACCTGTGCACGAAGAACATGAAGGATCACAAGCTTGACATTTTCCTGTTGAATCCTCGAAAGTTCCTATTGGACAAACCTCAACACATTGACCTTCTTTAGTAAGTATAGGACGATTCGGTGGACATTTCGTGCATTGATTTAATCCAGGGCCTGTGCATTCCAAACAATCGGGATGACACTTTATGCAAGTTGTGTTTATTGCAACATAAGACGAAGGACAGGGGTTTGCAGAACATACGCCATTCAGAGAAAATTGTGTAGGGTTGGAGCAGGAGAGACATTGAGATGCTGATGGACCGTTGCATGTAGCGCAAGTAGTATCACAGGCTATTACAAAAGGAATTAATGAGAAAGAGAATTTTATTAGAATCACGTTTTATAATGTTAAATAAAAATGAAAGGTTACAAAAAATTAATCAGTACCTATGCAGGTAAATTGATCAGTTGGACTAACAAATTTTCCGGCCGAGCAAGCTTTTACACATCGGCCGTTATCGAGAACATGTCCGGTCGTGCATGTAGAACATTGCACTTCGTCGCGTGTAGAATTTGTACTGAAGTTTGGTATGGAACAACTAGTGCACGTACTTGGACAAGCTATAATGCAAATCAATGAGTTAATCGCGAAAAATTACGAAAAACGAATGTGACCTTGTGAATAAATAGATTACCATCA